CGCTCTGCATCTTCAGGTCGGCACTTTTCTCGAATATGCTTACAAAACATTCCCGATCCATTCGCCAGTCCGGCACCCATCCACCCCGGCTCCTTCATTCACGAGCCGGAGCGCCGACGTCAAAAAGCGCTCCCGTCGAGATCCTGAACACTTTACTTCCCGGTTCAGCTCGGCGCTTCCTCCTTAGACCGGGTCCTAGGCTCGGGTTTCGATAGCAACGTCTCCCCGGTTCGTTCCTGGCTAACTCGGATATCAACAACTAATATAACCTTGATTTGTTTGGAAGTTCTCAATCGACTCATTAATTTCCATGAAAACCTCAAAGTAACCTAATAAATATATATATATATATATAATTAAACAATTTTTGTTGTTATTATCATTTAATTTTAAAAATAATTTTCTTAACAAGTACCAGTGTAGTACACGGGTATTGTACTAGTATGTTTTATAGAAAATACAATTTGGACAAGTGTCAATAAGTGGTGGATGGCTCCATAAAAAAACAATCTGATAGCTCTATATAATTTTTGTATAACTGTATCGTAAAGATTAGAATCCACTAGCATTCGATCCTGTGCACATGCACAGATGCAAATAAAATTTTATATGTTATATGTATGTCTATGTAATATTTAAAATCATAAGTTAGATAATAGCACATCACATTTTATAAATTTTATTATTAGTAAAAATGAATGTTAAACTATAACTCACATATTAATCTTTATATCGATTGCAGTTATATAAATTTTGCAATATTTTTTTTATTATGAACAATTGATTTGATAAAACAATATTGAAATTATTATTATTATTATTATTACTATTATTACTATTATTATTATAGCAAATGTGTACGACATCTTAAAAATTTTGGTTATATCATAAAATTGAAATAACTAATCTTAATAAAAAAATTTGCTTAATGAGTTAAAACAAAAAAAAAAAAAACAATAGTTTGAAAAAAATAAATTTAATACCATTTAATGTGATTTTATGATTGTTAGCATTAGTTGTTATATAATAAAATAAATGAAAAATATAAATACTTAATTAATGCAAAGTAACATCTTTTGGAGGGGAAAAATTTGAGGTTTTATTAAATGTTTTTGGCTAGTAATTATATAATATATATATATATATATATATATATATATATATTAATAAAACACATTTTGTTTCCCCCCTCTTTTATGCTACTTTTGCATTGATAACCAAGCAATTATATTTTTTATTTATTTTATTATATAATTACTACTCTTAAATAATTATAAAGTCATGACATTAAATGTAATTCTATTCTAAATATTTTTTAAAAATATTTATGTAATTTTTTTAACTCATTATGTAAATTTTTTTAATTAAATTAGTTATTATTTATGCCATAACCAAACCCTTCAAAATTTCATACATAATTGTTGTAATTATAATTTCAATATTGTTTTATCCAATTGTTTTATCCAATTAATTAATTATAATCAATCAAGATCGCATCAATATGAATATTAATATGTAAATTAAATACTTTATATTTATATTGTTCATTTATACTAATGATAAAAATTATAAAACGTGATATGCTCATTATCTAAATTATGATTTTTAA